GTAATGGTTAAGAGTTACCTTCAATATTTAGGCTTCAAAAACTATTTCTAAAGTTTCATTTTTAAAAGCCCTTTTTACCTTTTTAGATACATAGTCATGCATAATATACACTGTTTATACAAAAGTTCATTCAATTAAAATTTTATGAATTGATTTTACTTGCAAAAGATGTCAATTTGATGGATTAAATAAAAGTATCTGAATCATTCAGGGATTAAAAGGGCAAGAAATGTCACAACGTGTAGAGAGAAACACTGGGAAGTTTAAAAGCGTCTGGACCCAGTAGTTGAAGAGATGAATTATTGCCTCAAGTTGAACCACTGACAAATCTTCAGAGAATTTCTGGTGGTACAAAGTGAGTACTCAGAGTAATTGAAATTAAGATCAATGATGAACTGATTAATAAAATGTTTGAGGTGAATTTTATTGTAGCCCTTTCATTTTATATTTGAGAAAGAATTTAGTTTTCAACTCCCGGGATTAAATTAAAACATTTCTTGTTTAGTTGCTTGTAGATCAACGATATATACTACTATATTTTCAAAAGGTCATTTAATATAAGAGTCCTATCCAGGGGCACATACTTTGTAGTCTGTTAGTCTCTATATTTTGGATAGTTGTGACTTTCTCTGTCAATCATCACCTGTTGCATGAGGAAGCTGGAGGGGGTTGTTTAAGTAGCATTAAGATGTATTATATGAAATGCACAAAAATTCAATAAATACATGTCTATTGAGAAAAAAAATCACTAAGTAATTTACCATGAATATATTTTACTTGCAGAAGATGGCAACTGCAAGAATTTTCTTGAATTATATGCATATTTTGAAATTGCATTAATCTCACTTCATTTAAGGACATTCTTACTACACCTGAGTACAACAGAAGTTGATGCAAGTTTCGTGACCACCTCTTCCAAGTGCCGATGGATGAAAGTAAACAGATAGCTCTGTGGTGGAGTGAGGAGTTATGACAAGCTGTGTAAATTTAGAAAGAAACAAAAGCAAAAGGAAAACATCAGTATTATTGTTGAGGTTGTTTTTTTATCTGCTAGGTCTATGGAGGGCTGATGTTTGTGTGATAAACATGTGGTCTTGCCTATACTCTCCGCTTCTGTATACCTGCTTTGATTAAAGGGGCCATGATGAACATTATTTGTTATCATGCCATATTCTTCCTTCAAACAATGACCACGTGGAGACATTGATTGTGTATTTAAAAATGTTAGAATTAATTTAAAAATATACCGCTATATATGTGTGTATGTATTTCACATATTGTTTCAGCCCAGAATATACAAAAATCTTATCTTTGTATATAGGAAAACAGATAAAGACATCATTTTTTTTCTGTCTGTATGTATCTGTCTGTAGGAAGACACATATTTACAGTTGGGACAAACATCTGTCCCTTTGGAAAATCACATAATACTACATTACTAAATCCATATAGCTCATTATGGTAATCTTTCCATTCTCAAATACTTCCTTTATACGCATATGATACTGAGAGGTATGATAAAAAGAATTAAGGTAGCATATATATACCCAGAAGCAATTAAAAAAACTTTTGATACTACTGGCAACTTACTGAAATTTAACGAAGATTCTCTCATCATTTTTAAGGACAAAAAGTTAAATAACCTTGGTGGAAATACAATTGCAATAAACCTACTACTTTAGTGTAGTGAACTATATTTAAATGTAGGACCATTTCAAAACTTTAAATTATTTACAGTATACATCATTATAAATAATTCCAAACTGCAAATTTACACTGGATCCTACTTCTTTGTTGTTGCAGCCAAGAGATAGATATTAAGGTATAAAGACATCAAAGTGTACATTAAACTACAAAGAGTAAGAACATTTATCTCAATGTCTTATCTACCAGAAGAGTTCCTGGTGAGGTTTTTTGATGAAAATAAATTACTTTAAGGATCTCTTTATCTGAAACAGGGTCTCAGTTTCTGGCCTAGACTGAATTCTCATTCCTGGGATCAATCTATCCTCTTGTATGAGCCTCCTGAATGGCTAGATTAGCTGTGACTATTGAGTTATATGCCACAGTGCTTGTATTGTATTGTAAATATCATTTTGAACTTTACATGAATGAATATGTATACACATTTACTGTAAATAATTAGTGTCCTATTCTTTGGAAATATAGGAATCCACATTAAAACATGGAATCTTGTTTAGTACCTTAGATAAAAAAGAAAGATAATTTAGGACCATTGACTTGGTCTTACTCTATATCATGAGCCTAAAAGGAAGTAATGGGACACAAAAAGGAGTAATGGAGTGGGAAATGCTGTCAATAGGGTCTGGAAATATAGATGGGGGAGGACCTGGAACTACAGAGTGTTAAATAACACTTATCCTCAAGACTCTGTAAACACATAATGACTGTTGAGATAAAATCAAATTACTCAGAAACTATTACAAAATATTATTAATAAGATGGTCAGAAATAGAATGCAACCAGTACATTGAACAAGCACTTAGCATCTGTGTGTGGTGGCACATGCCAACACTCAGGAGGCAGAAGCAGAGAGAACTCTATGAGATTGAAACCAGCCTGGTCTGAATAGTGAATGCTGGTCCAGCTATGGCTACAGAGCGACGCTGTCTTCAAAAATAAAAAAAAGAAATGTATTAACGTGTTTTTTAATGATAATTAAAATTCATGAGTAGGTATAAATAACTGAATATCACTTTTAACATGTCTAAGGATTTAAAACATCATTATAAATTCAAATGACAATATTCCACTTGTATTCTAAAATTAGAATTAGAAAATGCTCTCATAGCAATTAATTTCATAAATTTCTGAATGTACTTACTGGTGATTTTCTGTTAAGCTCTATGACAAAATTCTCAGGATTACTGTTCCTTACTTCCAATTCTAAAGTTTCACTTGTGGGATTATATAAGGGAAGGGTCTGGATGATCTTCCTAGGAGGACAAAACAGAAGTGCTAATTTCATGACATTGATTAACTGATTTAGTGATAATTTCACAAACATCATTATGAGTTAAATTATATCCCCCTCAAAACATATGCTGATATACAGGTTTGTGTGTCACAGTATTTCATTTTTATTGTTCAAGAAAGCATGTTAATCTGAAGAGTGATATTACTAAATAAAGAAAACAAGCTGCTACTCATCTTCCATTTATTCAAATTAATCTATTTTTAAAATTATTTGTAATATTAAATATGTTATCTATTCAAACTAATCAAACTATTTTTAAAATTTTTATCTAATACTAAAAAGTATATGTTGAATTCTAAATTCTTTGTGCTTCCATTAACTTAGAATGTGATATTATATTCATTCTTGCATATGTGTACTTAGTTAAGTTAAATTTAAATCCTACCAGAAAAGTGTCCCTTTAATCCAATATGACTAGCTGACTCTGAAATTTATTTCAAATATGATCAGCATTGACATCTCAGGCGGCATCAGCTGAATGACTTCTTTGGTGTGGCATGCTACTAACTCTAATAAGAGTTGTTTTTTTTTTTCACATTTTTAAAACAAAGCCCTGTCTTTGTCATACTATGTTGATTAAACAGCATAACTTAATTGCATTATGACAGGAAAACTCTAATGAGGAAATTTAGGATATTTCTGTACCTACTTAAAAGCTAATGTTTGATAAGCATTTCTATATTCAAGTTTTAAGGAAGCATAATGAATATTTTCAGTGCAAACTACTGGGAAATATATATTTTACAAGTACTCTTGATATTAGTATGTTGACTTCTATCTAGAATTTCCTGACAGACACTTTAAGGAAACTGAATTTTTTTTACACACACACACACACACACACACACACACACATACATACATACATATAAATGTGCATATATATATATATAAGATTTAGGAAGTGTGCATGTTCATTTTCAAATATAATTTGTAGAATATAATTAATGCATCCAGTTATAATGAAATGACTATAGTTTTTGATAACCAAAGTAAAATCTACAATCTATACTCATCAGTCTCAGTTCATAAAAGTACACAAAATAAATTTAATACGTGAAGAAACCAATAGTTTCAAATCAGTACTTGATGGACTTTCATGATATATATTTCCACAGGGAGAAAAACATAAATAAGGTGTGATATTTGCTTCTCTAGTGGTGAATGAAGTAATATTGAACAGCATTTCAGAAGAAGGAATAGGAATGGCCTCACATAGTATGCTGAGGTATCTGATTTTGACTTGAAGCAATTAAGTACCTGGAGTGGTTGGTTGTGTTTAAATAACTTGGTGTTTTCATCATGGCAACTGCTTGGAAAATAAACTGTAGTGTTTATGGAAGGGAAGAACAGAAACTAATTATGATTATTATGGCATGATAATCTGGGCATGAAACAAGGGCAGCCTGAGAAATAGCAATAGGGAAGAAACAACGCAAATTAGCATAAGCTTTTGTTGGGAAGGGAAAAGAACAAGGAGAGAAAGTCTATTTATTGAATTCTTACACATGTGGATGGTCCCTTGGTGAATTGTCTGGTTAATGCAGTAAATGGCAGTTATTTTTGAGTGAAGTCAAACATAAAATGTATCATTTGTATGGTTTTACTTATAGGTGCTATTTAAAATAGAAAGTGAATTTGTCTACAGTGACAGCTTAATGGATATGCAGTTTACTGTTGGGTGATGAAAATGTTTTTGAAAGCGAGGGAGGTGTCGTAGTATACCAGAGTGCAACGCTACTGAATTGCATTTTTTAAATTGATTAGCTTTATATGCACTTTTTCCTCAAAAATAGAAACAAAAAATGAATAGGAAAAAAATAATAGATTATCACACTTGACATGAGTAGACATGTTCATGATGCTCCTGCTTCATGTGTGTGCATTCATGTGCATGGATACATACTGTAGGTTGAAAAATATATTTCACAGTGTGGTTGACAGCTACCATTTAAATATTTTCTTTATTTTTTTATGTGTATGAGTGTATTGCCTGCATGTATGTGAGTGCAACCGTGTCGTGCAATGCCGTGGAGGTCAGAAGAGGGCTTCGGATTCCCCTGGAACTGGAGTTAAGGACTATTCGTAGCTGCCATGTGGATGCTGGAAATCGAAACCCGGGTCCTCTGCAAGAGAAGTCAGCACTCTTAACCTCTGAGCCATCTCTCCAGCCCGGATAGCTAGCATTTTAAATCAATGAATTGTATAGCGGTTTGCCCAGAGAGGACATTCAAGGAGGCAACTGCGCTGCAGGAAGATTTTCTGGAAGTCATGGATCTGTAGCACATTTAATTCAATGTCTGCTCTGAAGAGGAATGAAAAGCCTGAGGTCCAAGAGAGATTCCAGTTGAAGTTAGAGAATTCTCACACAGTACAAAATAAAATATACTTGGATAAAAATGTGTATTTAAGTCACTTGGTATTATAATATATGGGCTCCTAGTTATAGGTTGTATAAATAAGACATTGGCTTTATAAAATAAAATTAGAATTCAAATTTTCAATACACTCTAATTATTGTGGCCGGAGTGATGGCTCTCAGTGGTTTAAGAACACTGATTCTTTGTGCAGAGTACTGGGACTTGGTTCCAGCTCCAGGGGATCTGATACGATCTTCTGACCTCCGTGGGTATTGCATGGCATAGGTGCACTTATGTAGATGCAAGCAATACACTCATACACATAAAATAAAATAAAAATAAAATATTTTAAAATACATGCTATAATAATAATAAAATAACATATTTCAAAACTCTCAGTAACAAAGCACAAGGAAAAAGATGTAAAGTTGATAGAAATTAAAATAAATTTTGTTGAAGGCTTATTACAATTTCATATATCAAGGGAGAGTGATGCAGAAAGCAGGGCAGCCTGTAACTGCCAGTGAACAAATTGACAAACGTAAGCAAAAAAGTCACTTATTTAAGTCTATCTAATAAGTTTCTTACATACTAGGTTTCTAATAATGAAAGACAACAACCCTAAATTACAGATACATATATTGAGGATTATTGTTGCATATATTATTTAGAGACAAAATTAAATTTTCTTAGAGTTTAAAAATCCTACTACTTTCTCTTTCAGTTCCATATTTCTTTGTAGCTAAGACAAACTTTTTTCCTCAAAATGGTTTCAAACTTCATAAGGTAAATCAGGAAGAAGAAAAATAACATGTATGGATAATGTGTCTAATTTTTTCAACATCTTTAGTATCAGGCACTTTCAAAATAAATTAATAAATTATTTAAAACAGAATTTGAACAAGTAATAAAAATACATAAGTACTAGAAAGAATACACTTACTCTGAAAGTTACAACGTAAGATACACTTTTACGGCTTAAATTTCCTGGGTACCAGAATTGATTTCAGATTTACAAATGGTTCATTAAGTGACTAATATATATCTTCTTAGATTCATCAACATTAATTTGTAAGACTGACTAAGGACAATAATGAAGGCTCTCTCTGACTCAAAAGAACAAGGTCAGAGTCCTCTTATTCAACTATTCTCTGCCTACATAATATAATGCTGTAAGCAACTGAGTGAGTATTTGAACTTGGATCTTCTTCTATTTCCACAGAACTCCAAACTAGTTAAGTTAATTTTCTCCTTATCACTGATATCTCTATTAACAACCTATACAATAACAACAAATGGTCACTGATGCTGACTTTTGATATAAGCACTAAAAGGAAGCATTGGAAGATAAATTTGCGTCAGTCTTCCTGATTGCAAAACAGCAAATATTGGAGAAAAAGGGAAAATACTGAAGGTTTAAAATTAGGTATAAATAGTAAGTCCAAATCACAGACTAGGAAGAAGATACAAGACAGAAAGATGCCATAATTCTGAGAGATTCGAGAAACAGAAAACTATAAATTTCTGTAGTATAAGAATTCTCATTTACCTAAAAAATGAGCACAAAGCCACAGCAAGACGTGTCTTTAAGACAGAACACTAGATACATTTAAAGATTCTACAAACTTCCAAAAAGGATAAGATATAGTATAGAGTTGAAATATTTTTCAGTGTTATGCACCTCTTAAGTAAATGCTTTAAGTATAACTTGAATTTTTTTAATAAATTCAGTTTCAGAAGAATATGTTCATAAAATCTAAGAGAACATAAAAAGAAAGAGAAAAGTCTGGCTTGAAGGAAGGCTCTGCTTGTTGTGCAAGCATGACAAGCTAAATTTGTTCCTTGGAACCTGTGCTACAGTGGAAGAAGAGAATCAGCTCCAGAAAGTTGTCTTCTCACCTCTACACATATGTCTTGGCGTTCATGCACCTGCATACATGTATACACACTCACATGTTAATAATGATGCTTAAAAATTCAAGTGCTAGTACAATGTAATAGAATGGACAAAAACAATAGGTGGAAAACTAAGGCAAAAATTTCATAAAAGACTTATCAATCATATAGTTTTCATAATTAACATGTAAATAATTTTATAACATTTTCATGTTTTGTATACATGTGCATATATGTGCAGATGTACATGCATGCTCCAGAGCGTGTGTAGACAGGAGGCATCTTGTAATCAATGGTTTTCTCTTTCCACTATTTTGATTTTATCCTGGGGAACAAACTCGGGTCACCAGGCTTGGCAGTAAGAGCCTTTACCTGCTGGGTCCTTTCACCTGAACATATACATTAACATTTTAAAGCAAGAAAAAAATACATAAAATTTAAAAATAGCTTTATGAGTAACTTGTTGAAGTAGACAATGCTATGACCTCACTCAATTTTCCAGAAGAATTTTTTTTTATCATTTCTCAGCCCCCACACCCCAACCCCTTGATGCTTGCTGTTAATCGCACATCCGAGAGGTTCAGCTGCTTGACCTTTTGATCCTGGAGCCTCCTCATGCCTGCAGAGAGCAGCCTGGACTTTTAATGTCTTAGCCTAAAGATGTTTATGGGGATTGGTATAAGAGTTCAAAAGTCCGGATTTTTTTATTAATTAATAATTCTGTATTGTATACTTCAAAATTGCAACAAGAAAGTTTTTTTAATGTTTTCTCCATAAAGAGATGATAAACAGGAAGCTGAGGAGATGACTCAGACAGTAAAGTACTGAACATTTAAATACAAGGACCTGAGCTCCATCCTCCAGCGCCCACTTAGAAAGCTGGTGGAACAGTGTGTGTCTTTTGTTCCAGGGCTGGGAGGCAGTAAGGAGGATTCCTAGGTCTCACTGCCTAGGAATGTGAGACAGCATCAGGATTTTTTTCAAAAAGTAAGGCGGAGAGTGATAGGAAGAGAATTAATATTGACTCTTAGCCTCCTCATGCACACCAAAAATGCGCAGGAACATGTATACATACACATATATACCAAACATACAAACACACACAAGTGCACAAAAAATGATACATTTTTGAGGGGATGAATATGGTAATTAGCTTTATTAAGTCACAGCGTATAGTATTTCACAATGTGTAAAAATATCACATTGCACCCTATATACAAATACTCATTGTTTGTTAATTAAAAACAAAATGGACCACAAAAATAAGCAAATGAACAAGAACTTAGGTCCCTGACTTCACAAGGTAGGAAAAGGTGTGAAACTTCAAGCTCCAGATCTCTTTTCAAGATCAGTGAGTCTGGAGATATACCTGACATCAATTTTGTGCTTAGCTTTTTCCCTTTTCAAATCCTGCTTTCATTGATCTCCAAATTTCTCTCTGGTTACTTCCTTAATGAATTAATTGTAGTAAAATTTTGGCCCAAGACCTAAATACTGGAAGTATTTAACATGCTTTGCATCTGCTGAGGAAGAGAAATTAAGTAAAAGGAACTGATTTGCCCACTAGAGCATGTTTTTTTTAAGTTAATTGTAAATTATTTACTCTTGTAAACATCAAATTTGGTGTCAGTCAGACATATAATAGGCTCTTGATTATCTAAATGTGAATGCACATACACAACTCAAGGGAAAAGGCATTAACAAAACGGCTAAGTTTTCACAATGCCGATTGCTTACCCTCTGCTTTGCACTAAGAAAACTTCCATTAGGCTTCTCTTTAGCCTGAACCGTACTTGATTTCAAGCCAAAGCAAGCACAAACATACGCAAAATATGTTCTGTTCCTTTCAATGTCTCCTGGGAATCAGCTGAGTATAACCACTTCCTACTAGACACCACTGTCTATTGCCCTGTTTGTATCTTATTTGGTTTTCTAACTGCTTTCTCCTTCTATACCTTATACAACAAAAAATGTTTTTCTGTTTGATTTTGTGGTACTCAAAATGAAAGCTTTAGTCCCTGTTTTAATAGTCCCTTTTCTCTCTTTTGAAACGATCTAATATAGATTAAGATCTTTATTTATCATTCCTGATCAGTTTTCTTTAGCAATATTCCCATTAGAAATATATTTCTTTGGTATTTTAAAAGTCTAAATGCATTACCATAATGTTGCTGTAGTGTAGCTTTTATTTTCTTACACACAAAAAAAAATATCTGATAAAGAGAACTTACTTTCCAAGGTCACACTGCATTTCTGGGACTTTCTTTGTTTTTGGAAGTTCAGTTGTTAATTTCAGTAAATACCAGAACTCTTGACCCATTTCAGGCTGAAAAATAATGCTGTTACAGAGGCAGAATGAAAATCATGTCAGTGGTTTTAATTTATGTAATAAACATGGCAGAGACAGAATTTCAAAATGGTGGAAATAGCTGGTTTCAAATATATTATTTGATCATTACTACTGAATGCATTCTGTTCTTATCATGGATGAATTTGTGTTGATTTTCATTTTAAAAGGAAAACTATTTCACTATTCAAGAAAAACAATAATGCCATTAATGTCTATCTAGTAAAGGTTTGTTGAATGAATGAAAAATAATTTTTAATTAGTATTTTGTCATTTTAATTAGTATTTTGTCATTTTTAATTAGTATTTTGTCATTCCTGATCAAGGTTAGAGAAAGTCCCGGTTTACAGCTGTCATTAAATCAAATTGACTTTGTTGAATTGAAATATATATGTTTATTTGTGTGAAGAGTATCATGAATATGTGGTTTTGGAGAACATCCTTTATAATCAGCATGTGCTCAGCTCTCAGAAAATAATTTTGTGAAAGGATAAAAGTATGATTTGGCTGACATCTCAGCTCTATTGTCTTTTACTTGTGTAACTTCATCCAAGTCAATTAACTTTTCAAGCTTCAATTTCTTCATTTCTAAAATGGGATGATTCAGTCAATCCTACCTCTTGTACTTGCTATGAGAATTTCATATATGTTAAAATACATGCCATGAGGACAATCATACAGTCAGCAGTTAGTAAGAAGAGGTATAGAATGTGCTTGTTAAAATACATGAATAAAGGCAATAACATAACATTGCAGTCATTATCGATAAATCCTATACAGCCATACACAGGAGATGAGATAAACCTACATTCCTAATGGTAATCTATTTTTTTATTATTATTTCTTTGAGACAGGTTATCACTATATACCCCTGGCTGGCCTGGAACTCACTATGTAGACCAGCCTGGCCTCAAACTCACTGAACTCTGCCTGCCTCTGCCTCCTGAGTGCTAAGATTAAAGGTGTGCACCACCATACCTAGCTCTCTAATAGTAATTTACTAAAATAAGGTATTTTATGATATAAAATCCTGCTTTCCCCCTGCTGCTCTTGTTTTTCTTCTTGGACTTCTTTATAATTTGGGGGAGTTTTTGAAATAGTCTTATTTTAGTGCAAGGTGGCCTAGAACTCGCTATGTAGTCTAGGCTGGCATGTAGCTTGTTGAGATTCCTGTCTCCTCAGTATTATGGTTCCAAATGTGAATCGCTAAATCATGCTACTAAATGACTTTTTATGCTTTACACTGTTATAAATATTATCCTTTAAGATTTGACAAATTTGAGCTAGAGAGAGGCTCAGCAGTTAAGAGCACTGGCTGCTCTTGCAGAGGACCTGGGTTTGAATCCCAGTGTCCATATGGTGGCTAACTGTCCGTCCATAACTCCAGTTTCAGGGGAAACTAATGCCCTCTTCTGATTCCTTGGGCATTGCAATGCTTAAGTGCACTTACATACATGCTGGCAATATCATCACACACACAAAATGAAAACAATAAATAAACTTTTAAAAAAGATTTTACAAATTTGTTGTTTTAGAACCTCCTCTCTAAAATGAAAATCACTAATTTCCTATATTATTTATGAAACAGAAAACAATGATTTTCACTATCATCATGATATGAAAAGATATTCCATTATTCTGGTAATATCTGCATATGTATAAGTGTCCTAGTTTGTCTCTTCATTGCTGTGACAAAATACTCTGACCACTACCAACTTGGGGAGGAAAGAGTTTATTTGTCTTACATCTCCAAGGTCACAATTCATCAGGGAGCCCAAGGTAGGAACTGAGGGCAAGAACCTGGAGGCAGGAGCTGGAGCATAGGCCATGGAGGATCACTGCTTATTGACTTGTTCCCTTAGCCACTGCTCAGCCTGCTTTCTTATAACACACAGGCCCACCTGCTGAGGGGTGGCACCACCCACAGTGGGCTGGGACCTCCCACGTCACTCAACAGTCAAGAAGATGCCCCAAAGACATAGCCATTGGCCAGTTCAATGGAGGCAATTTCCCAATTGAGGTTCCTTCAACCCATCAAGTTGACACTAAAGATATCCAGCACAATATGTATGTATGTGTTTATTTTTATATATTTATATATATATATATATATTTGTCTTGCAAGTGAGAAAATGGGATTGGAGAGAGGGCTCAGTTGTTAAGAGCACATGTTACTCTTCTAGAGTGTCAGAGAACAATCCCCAGCAACCACAGTTGGCAGCTCATAATTGCCTGTAACTCCAGCTCATGGGAGATGCAAAGCTGCTGGTCTCCGCGGGCACCTGCTCTCATGTGGACATATCTACACACAGGTACAGACACATACACATAATTAAAAATATGTTTTAAAGAGATGAATGATTTTTATCAGGAAAAGTAAAAGTTTAATCTCTAGTTCTTAGTAATCATTTTAGCTCACTTCAGTTGTTGCACTCAGGATGATCTGACTAGCAAAAAATAAAATGAGAAACGTAGGAAATATATAATTTGATATTTCAATGAGTAATTTTGCACTAATGCAAACAATAGTTAATTGTAAATTAGTACACAAGAAAATTGCATTAAAGCATGGGAAGAAACAATTTTCAAACCTAACTTAAAAGTTTCAACAACACATTAGAATTCTTGGCCAATCCATACCTTTCTTCTTTATAGCCTGTGGATGCTGGAGAATACCACACAATGTACTTAGCACATTCTAATGGATTCAGTCTAAGCTCCTCTGGTCCATCAAGGAAATCAGATGTTAATTTCACATTCATTTGAAGAATTTTGTTGTTTGGATTAGAAATAGGAATTTCAATGTAAGTGGTCTCCTAGAATTATGAAAGAAATACATGATCAGCTTTTAGTATGAGGATAGCTATTACCCTAGGAAAGCAATCAAAAAGAAAATGATTACAGAAGGCCATTTGTTTCCATTTTCCTTTTCTGATATGCTACTAAATATATCATATTCAAACATAGTCTTTTATTTGTTCTCATTGATTAAACTTGACAAACAGTAACATTATTATTATTAAAGAATTTTAATTATTTTTATTAAAATTTGGGTTTATGAGACAGGTATCACTATGTGGTCCTAGCTGGTCTGGAACTCAGTATGCATATCAGGTTGGCCTCAGTCTCACAGAGATTTGCTTGCTTCTGCCTCTCAGTTGCTAGGATTAAAGGTGTGCTCCACTGTACTTGGCATAGCAGTAGTATTTTTAATGGTGAATTCTGCACAGAAATCCATGTAACTAAATGGCAAGCAAAACGTAAAATTGCATTTATGATGCATTATTTCACCAGTAATATTTATACAACAATGGCCATTGGTGAGTTGCTCCCTAGAGCTGAAGACAGAAAAAAGTAATGGAACATTTGGGTCCTTCATTTGTCCTGGTCTACTAATCAGGTATGTTTCAAAAGTGAACATTGTTAGTTCAAGAAAATGCTAGATAGTTTTCACAGAAGTTTAAAAATAAGAAAACACCCTAGGTTCTAAAACATAAATTTTCAACTACAACACAAAACAATCCAATATTTATAAGAATTACATACACACACACTCACACACATACTCATTATAAGTTCTCAGTTTTCACTACATGAGGTGCTTTCTGATACTATTTATTATTTTATTTTTTGCCAGTTTCTATAGTTATTACATATTTTTTAGAAGAAGCATTTAATTACAGCTTTAACATACTCAATAACAATTTTCAGAGCAAAGATATGTCTCTTTCAAAAGTGGCCATAAAATTTTTAGGTCCACAGTTGAATGAATACAGTTATACAATATTGAACTCAGTAAAAGCCCTGCAAGACATAAAGTTGAATGAGTTTTTAACCTTTAAAAAAGATCTCCATTTCATTTTAAAATATACTTTTTCTTACAGAAAGACTCATTTTTTTGCTAATAACACTGAAATGTTGGCACATGCACCTCTAATCTGTATGTATTTGATTATTACTAGTCACAATCGCATGCACTCAGATCCTTGGCACCTGTGTATGTCTATAAAGTCATGGGGTAGATTTCAATGGTAATGTTTATCACCTCTACTAATTAACATGACATAAATTTTTATGCTTCCTCCTAAAATATAGCTCGTTTTTTTAATTTGTTGATTTTTTTGTGTCTATATCACACAGAAAATCCCAATCTTATTTATCTATATACCCACTTCCAAGATGGTACCCTTGCATATCCTCCCGTGCCCCACTAAAGCACTTTTACTCTGTCTTCCCTACTACTCTCTGCTGTGTTGGCACCCCCAGCCATTCCCCACTATTTGTCCATCTGGTGAATCTAGTCATCCTATCTAGAGGTCTTTGTTTTAGGAAGGTCAGCTGTTCCTCATCTAGCAGCAATCAGTTGTCAGTATTCCTTCAGATAAGATTGGGTTCTGTGGTTCATTTTCCAAGTTCTATGCTAGGTTACTATCTGGGAGTCCCTTTGACCACCCTGGTCAACAACTCAAAAGAAGTATCTCCTATCTGGAATTGTTTCTTGTTATGTAGCCTTTAGCTATACAAATGGATTCTTAAGAAGTTACATTGGCCCCTTTAATTCTTTGGTTATACTTTCCCTTTGAGCGTTTAAGGCCATACAGCTGGTCCAGATAAACCAATTTAGTTTTACTCTTGAGGCCATTTGAGGATCTGTTCCTCAGGGGACACATGGGCTTTGGAGGAGTCCCTGGCTCCTTTCTTTTACCAGGTACTTCTATGTGAAGATAGTCAAAGATCCTGCTCAACAATGGCAGGCTTCGCTTGGAAGCACGGAGGAAATATGTCCTCTGTGTTGACCCTCCTCTTTGCAGACTGGACATTGGTTCAAGTCCATCTCATGGGGTCTCCTTATCTTCCTTGATCAAGAGGACAGGTGACCCACCACAATTACAGGACATTTTGAGAGATGCTTATAGTCCCCTGGAACTAGCTGACCTAGGAGGGAAAGGAGCAAAAACTGTCCTTTATGTCTCTCTGATCAAATTATTATAGGCCTCAAATTATGTCTGTTAAATATCCAAGAAGGTTAGTTCCACCAGTCTGGTACTTTTAATTACCATGTGCCATGTAGATAAAGCTTGGGCAAGGACCAATTGTTCTCAAATAAACCTTGCCTAGACATATATTTCTTAATCTGGTATGCATAATTTATCAGTAGGTACATGGACCAATATGGTTCCCTCTGGTTTTTAAAACTAGATAGGCATTATTTATCTCTCTCATTGTCTAACGCTTCCATCATGGTTTTCCCAATTAAGGTGCCCCCATTTTTCCCATTTCTCCCTTAATACTACCCTTCTCCTATGTTCCTACCCCCCTTGAGCTCCTTCTTTCCCTTTATCCCCTAGGTTCCTTGTACACGCTGCCCTCTCCCTCCCTTAAACTAACCAAATTTGTATCCATATCTCCCTTATTAATTCCTGTTTTCTAGTGTTCCCTTTCAGATTCTTTTCCTTTACCTCCCTGTTTCCTTTCCATTATCCTGGTTCCTGTAGTTATGTCTGGATAGATAATCATTTATTAAGATTTGGTGCTGGGATCCAAATATGAGGGAGAACATACATCATTTTTTTTTCTGAGTCTGTGTTACTTCACTTAGCATAACAGTTTCTAGTTCCACCCATTTACCTGCAAATTTCATGACTTCATCTTTCTTTACTGCTGAGTAAAACTCCATTGTACAAATGAACCACATTTTCATTATCTTGCTTCCATCTCTTAGCAATTGTGTAAACAGCAGCAACAAACATGGATGTGCAAGTGTCTCTGCAATAGGATGAGTTGTTTGCGTATATGCCAAGGAATGGTTTAAGTGAGTCAAATGGTAAGTTCATACGTAGTTTTTAAAATTCTCCACACTTCTTTCCATAGGGGTTGAACAACTTAGCAGCCCCACCAGCAGTGGATGAGTGTTCCCCTTTCCCCCATCCTCTCCAACATTTGGTGTCATTTGTTCTCTTGTTCTTTGCCAGTCTCACTGGGGTAAGATGAAATCTTAAATTGGTTTTAATTTTATTTCCCTAATTACTAGCGATGTGGAACATCTTTTAAGATGCTTCTTAGCCATCTTTATTTCTTAATTGAGAACTCTCTGTTCAGTTCCTTAGCCCATCTTTTAATTGGGTTACTTCATTTCCTGTCTTTGTTTTTTGAGGTCGTTATATATTCTGGGTGTTGAAACTCTGTCAGATGTGTCACTGGTGAAGACTTTCTCCCATTCTGTGATTGCCTCCTTTGATGTACAGAAGCTTTTTAGTTTAATGAGTTCCCATTTGTTGATTCTTGACCTTGTTTCCTCAGCAATTGATGTCTGATTTAGAAAATCCTTTCTACACCTATATCTTGTAGGTTTTTGCCAATGTTTTCTTCAGTTTCAGAGTTTCAGGCTTTACATTGAGGTCTTTGATCCATTTGGAATAGACTTTTATGCATGGTGAAAGATAGAGGTTTAGTTTCATTCTTCTAAATTTGGAGATCCAGTTTTGGCAGTACCATTTGCTGAACATGCTGTCTTCCCCCCAGTAAATGTTCTTGACCCCTTTGTCAGGTGGATGAGATTGCAGGTACTCATATTTGGGTCATCATTTTTGTTCCATTGATCTATGAGTTTATTTTTGTGCCAGGACCATGTTGTTTTTATGACTATAACTCTGTAATACAGTTTAAAATCTGGTATAGTAATTCCCCCGGCATTGCTCTTAGTGCTCAGCGTTGCTTTGGCTATCCGAGGTCTTTTGTGCTTTCATATGAATCTTAGTATGCATTTTTCTAATTCTGTGAAGTATGTCACATGAATTTTGATTGGGATTGCATTGAATCTATATATTGCTTTTGATAGGATGGTCATTTTAACAATATTAATTCTTCCAAAATATTAATTTTTCGAATCCATGAGCATGGGAGGTCCTTCCATCTTCTGATGTCTTCCTCAATCTCTTTCTTTAAAGATTTGAAATTTTCATTGTAGAGGTCTTTAATGTCTTTAGTCCGGTTTATTCCAAGATATTTTTTTAATGTCTTTGGTCAGGTTTATTCTGAAGTTTATTTATTTTTTGCAGCTATTGGGAAGGGGAGTGTTTCCATGTACTCTTTCTCTGATTTCTTTTTATCAGTATATAGAAAGGCTACAGACTTTTGTGGATTAATTCTGTAAATTGACACTTTACTGAACGTGTTAATAATTTTCAGCAGTTTTCTGGTGGAATTTTTGGCATCTCTTATATGTAATATCATATCATCTGCAAAAAGGGATAAGTTTATCTCTTCTTTTCCAATTATCACTCCTTTAATTTCCTGCTCTTGTTTTATTGCTCTCGCAAGAGTTTCAAGCACTGTGTTAAAGAGGAGTGGAGATACTGGACAGCCTTGTCTGGTTCCTGATTTCAATGGGAATGCTTCCAGTTTTTCTCCATTTAGAATGATGTTAGCTGTGGGTTTGTTATATAAAGCTTTAATTATGTTGAGGCATGTTCCCTCCAGTTAAATTTTCTGTAGGACTTTGAACATAAATGCATGTTGAATTTTATCAAAGCCCTTCTCTGCATCTATTGAGATGACCATGTAACGTTTATTCACTTATGTGTATTGAACCATCCCTGCATCTCTGGGATAAAGCCGACTTGATCATGGTGGATGATATTTTGATATGTGTCTGTATGTGGTTTGCAAGTATCTTGTTGATAATTTTTGCATCTATGCTCGTTAAGGATATGGGTTTATTGTTTTCTTTTTGGTTGTGTCTTTACCTGGTTTTGGTATTAGAGTGGTGCTGGCTTCATAGAAGGAATTTGGAAGTTCTCCCTTCAATTTTATCTTT